GTTATAGGAGTGCTATTCCCAAGTGGCGAGAACCTAGAAGCGAGATTACGCCAAGGGAATCATACGAAACAATAGAAAAGAAGCTGGCCTCAAGCGCGAAGAATTGGTTCTACGCTCATGGGGAAGCCTAGATCTAGACAACGGCAAGCTAATTTTCGGCCAAAAATTGAGAGAGCAACACAGAGACTAGCTCGTGCTAGGGAAGAAGCTGATAGTGGTGTTTTCAAGCCCAACAGAGAGAAGGATGAATTGACATATGCCCTAGAGAATCCGAACACGGTGGTGAACAAGAGGCTATGGGGCGGTTCCGTGGCTACGCATTCCCATGCAGACAAGGATACCTCTGAAGCCGCCGAGAGAAAGAAGGATGAGGAGGCGAAGCAATTCGTGCATTGAAGCAATTTGTTGATGAGTCACGACAAGCATTGCTTGAATCACGTGAACGAGAAAAATCTCTTGAGGCAAGAATGCAGGAGGAGATCAAGAGGCAAGTCTGACTAGCAATGAGTCAAATGCAATCGCAATCAACGCCGGAGTCACCATTAGCCCGTTGGTCGGATGAAAAGCGGTTGTGCTTCTACGGAACTGCCGATTATTCAAGACGACGCTGGGTTGCGCTTCCTGTTGATGACATTACCGAGCCTCTAACAAAATGTGAGCTGCACATTCCGGATGGTAATGCATCAATCATGGTGGTGTCATCGGGGTTGTATCTCAATAGACCGAACGAAGACACCAAGAATCCATGGGTCGGTTATTCAACTTTGGATATGCTAGCGTCTCGGTCGATAGAGTGCTCAAAGGTTACTGACAATGTTCCTCTTGACATTGAAGGCGGTGATGGGGAGAAGACACTAGGAGAAAGCAGAGAAGACATTTATTCAATGGGCAAGCGCTTCATCATCATTCACTGGGCGCCACCGCTTCCCCTACCTCACCCTAGGTACGAATGAAAGTGAATGAAATATTATTTTCCATTAATTTTCTATTGGCTTCAAAAATAATTGACACACAAATTGTTTTTATAGTGGGGTCTCTCCCAGCTAGCCTAATCATTCATTCCCCATCTCATCACAGTGTCGTCATGGGGCGAGAGACGACTTCATCCCCACAGCGATCGCGAACTCCTACACGGCCCCATCGCCTCCACAGCGATCTCCAACTCCTACACGGCCCCACCGCCTCCACAACGATCTCCAACATCTCACGCCGGTCTCCACCAACACCGGCCTCATCGCCTCCACGCCGATCTCCAACACCGCCCCCACCCCTCCACTGATGACGCACTACAAAGGCGTCTAAGGTCCCGTGCAAAGAAGACCCCGAGAAAAGAGTTATTTCTCAAGAAATACTTCTGAAAAAGACCGATGAGCAAATAGCATTTGAAGAAGACAAAAAAGTAAAAGATTTTTTATAGATATCAAAAACAAGAGTCAAGCAAAGCTTAAGGAGAAGCCGTACTTTTACATACCACGAGATGTCTTGGCGGGGAAGGTCGATGCTCACAAGAAAAAGATGATTGAACTTCGTAAGCCTTCGCCACTATCGGACTATGATCGCTCCCTCGTAAAGTCACATGATCTGAGATAAGAAAAGGAAAAGAGCATCGGGGAAGGATGTCCCACACTCGGACAATGAAGCAACCAATGCAAAATCTTGTTGTTGCTAATGAATATGGTTCCAACATAGAAGTCTATCGACCGGACAACTCTGGAGAAGTGTCGGTTCAAGCCCTTAATGCTTTTTTTTTAATAATCTTGGTTTAACCTTGGATCAATTGTGAGGCAAAGCTCCAATCCGAACACGGAAGTTGATACGGAAGACTTATAAATATGGCAAAAGTCTGTACAACCTATGACTCTGAATGAATTGGGTACGCATAAATGTACTTGCTCAACAAGTGGTACATGTGTGTGGCGGGGGTGAGCAAAGTGGATCTTTGTCGATTTAGAGACCATCATTACTTCCGTATGGCGATGACATCTTACATATTAGTTTTGAAGAATTGCATCAACTATTCCACTTGGGACGCTCTGGACAAATCAATCATTAGCTCCTTTTGTTTATAAGTGATTCTTACTTTTATTTAATAAACTCACTTCCATAAATGCGTGTATATAATTATCCTCACATGTAACTTATATTTATATCTGATTCCGGATGTCGAGCTCCAAAGAATACAAGACACCGGTGTTGGCTTCATTGATCCTTATATCGTATTCAAAACCGGTATTATTATCAAGGGCGATGGGTATCTGAAGCACAGGAGAATATCATGATGTTCTTCATGAAGCGACCACGACAAGACAACAATACTTTTCCGTACAACTTTGAGTAAGTGTTAATAATAATATAGTCTACACATTTTATGTAATATCAATACAACTTATATGCATGTATGCGTGTGTGTATAAACCAATGCGTTTTCATCTTTGGATACTCATTGTCATTGAGTTAAACTCAAGTCGGTTACTAATCTTTGACTCGTTGAGAAAAGAACGGGCACTATACCAAGATATGATAGACATTATCCAGGGGTAATTTCGATCTCTCGCGCTAACTATTATTGAATAGACTTTGCCATAATTTATTAACGATCGTACATTATTGGTCGCATTGGGGTTTGGAAAGAGTTTATTCGGCAACATCGCAAGGATTGCAAGGCACCACTTAATGTAGTTGAAATACCCGAGAAGTTGTACTATATACACTTCCCACGTGTTTAATTACTATATCGTACTTCAATTTATGTGTGAGATGATGAGAATAATCTTCTTCTCAAATGCAATTGGTGTTTCTGGCGGGAACGTGTAATAACTTGTGTAGATACTACGTTTGTGAATTTATCATCTGCGCACATAAGAAGAACTCTGAAGATGTCCTCGAGTACGTATATATCAATTTTATTTATTTTAAATGAATATATATACATATATGTGTATTAATACTTTTCCTTTTATTTCAAATGCAAGGCTGAATGGTTGAAACGAAGGGTCATGCAAAAGACCATCTGAAAGCAGTTCAAGAGTCAATAGCAGGATATCTTCTAGAAAAAGTGCTAAATCCCAACGCGAGTTCTACTTTGATCTTAAGGAATAAATGATGTAAATTAAATGTTTATTGATATCGTTATTTTCGAGAATAAGATTATGAAAGTGTTGTATATACATATATATATATATATATATATATATATATATATATATAATATATATAGTTTCATACTTTATTTGAATATAATAATGCTCAAGATGAGAATTAGATGTAATTATATGCATGCGTGTATTTATATTAGCAACGTAGAATACGTACATAAAAACATATTATATATTAAACAAATATGTGTGGCTGAACTGAAAACAAAGTAAACAAAAAAAATGAAAAGAAAAGGAACCTTTAGTCCCGGTTGGGGTTACCAACCGGGACTAAAAATGAACTCAATAGTCGGTTGGTAACTAGCGGGACTAAAAAATGCGCCAGTTCGCTCAATTTGGAGGCCTTTAGTCCCGGTTGGTGTTACCAACCGACTAAAGGTCCTCTTTAATCCCGGCTCGATGACCCGGGACTGAAGGTTCCACCTTTAGTCCCGGGATCGTTGTCCCGGCGCGGTAACCGGGACTAAAGGCTGTTACCGCCCAGGACAACAAGTCCATTCTGTAGTAGTGACGGGCACGATAGGAGCCAGGCCGGGCTGGGCCTGGATCATGCTTCTTAGTGCCGTGCCAGTGCCGGCCATAGTGCCTGGGCCAGATGGCCAAGTATAGTAGGCGCCGTGGGAACATTGAGCATAGGTTTTCAGGATATCCCATTTGGATGGGGCATTTCTTTTACACACCAAATAAAAGCACATGGTAATCTCAATATACCTAGCCGGTTGTATATTATAAGTATTCTTTAAAGTTTCGTGTACAAAGCTATGCATTTTAAGATGGAGGGCTTTACCGATCGAGCACTTTGTATATATATAGACCAAAGAAATTGACCCAAACTAACTTTTTCCCAAAAGCATCAGTTCTGGTGGTATTACCACCTTATTACAAAAGCGCCTCAGATAACATTGAATACCTGAAACTAAGCACGTTCCTTCCATGCTTCATGCATGTTGAACATGTTTCGATCTCCATGTCATTTAATTTGGTCATCATCTCACATGCGGCGCATCAGACCTGCAGATCGCATGACCAAATCTGGAAAGTGAAAAGCGGTCACGATTCACGTACAATGCAAACAGTTAGTTCATACTACAATACAGGCACGTTCCTTCCCTGAATCATATCATGTTGAACATGTTGCGAATTACGATCTCCATGTCATTTAGTTTGGTCATCTCATACGCATCAGATCTGATCGCGGGATCGCATGACCAAATCTAGTGTATGTAGAAACTAAAAAGCGATCAATGTTCACGGACAATGCACAGTCGGTTCCTGTATGAGACCATTCATGGGGCGCCGTGTGTGAGCGAGGGCAACTTCAACTTGGAGCATGGATAGCAAGTCACCGGCCGGCCGGCGGCACGTGCATGATCCAAACCCATCTTTTTCCCTGGACTGAAATTCTGGAAGAAATAATCAGTGGCTGTGGATTTTTATTTTTTTTATATATATACAGGACCCGGGCCGGGGCCGGGCATTTTGGGTCTGAACGGATGCGCCGCGAAGGATGGTGCCGGGCATCCGGCTCGCGTCCCAATTGCTCAAACCATAGCCGTCGTCCAGCCCGCCAAAACATATTCAATCCCAGGACAACGACCGCCCGTTCGTTGCGTGGACGCCCGCGACGCAAGCCGACCTCTCGTCGTTCGTCGATCTCACTCGTCGTCGTGAGTCGTCGCGTCAAACCTGTCACACAATTCGACCCCCACGCCCCACCCGGCCACCCTATAAATTCGTCCCTCCTACGTCTTCCCGCAGCTGACGACAACCCAGCGCGCACACGAACGAACAAGCGTAAGCGAGTAGCGACGATCGACTTGAATCGCTTGCAGCAGCGGCAGCGCCATGATGTCCTGGAAGAGGAAGACCAGCAGCGGGGAGTCGCCCTTCCGGGGCGCCGAGAAGGAGAAGGTCGTCGTCCCGAGAGGGCACGTCCCGATGCTGCTCGCCGGCGGGGACGACGGGGGAGATCATCATGGCGAGCGCGTGCTGGTGCCGATGCGGCTGCTCAGCGACCCTTCCGTCGCGGCGCTGCTGGACATGGCGGCGCAGCGGTACGGGTACGGCCAGACCGGCGTGCTGCGGGTCCCCTGCGACGCCGGTCACTTCCGCCAGGTCCTCGACGGCGCCATGCACAGACGATGCGGCATCAGCTCATCAGCCTGAAATGAAATGGCTGACTGGCTGGCCGTGACCATGATGACGACGACCACGCGCCGTGAGACGAACTAGCTAGTACATCAGAGCAGCTTGTATGTAGTGGAACATAGATATATGAAACTAGTATTTGTTCTTTGTTAGGTCGATTAAATTCTTTGATGAACATATATATATATACAACGTTCGATGGTTATAATTTTGAAGGGTCACGCTTATCGGCTTGTTTCGTATGCTGATCATTTGATATACACCACACTTTACTTACTTTCAGCTCTGCTTCTTAATTAATTCTACAACACGCACGAGAAATGAGTATAATCAAACAAAATAAATTCAAATTAAATCAATCGTTTTAAAAGCACCTGAACAACTACCGTACGTATTCGAAACTTTGCATCAAATTCAAAGTGGCAATGCGCATATCACTAAGCAGTAGCAGTTCTTGTTGTCAGCCAGGGTGAATTGTGTAGGACAGAGAGAGGAAGGGCCGTGTTTCTTCGTCACCCCTTCCTGACCCTGGAATACTCGGATTTCCGGCCGATTTTGCCGAGGAGAAATGAAGTCGTTTTCAGAGCTGCAGAGCTCTCTGTTATCTGATACTGAAAGGGTCTCCATCGTTCACTTGGAAAGTTGGAATTGGAAGGAAGCCGTGTCTATATATACTTCTAGACTAGAATTCTCTCTCTTTTCAGAAACAAACAAGATAGCCTCCGATTCTGCTTTTCTTACAAGCAAGATGAAAGTTCGATATGTACTTTAGAATTCCTTACCTGCGTCTACATCATACTTTATTCATCCTGAAATATAAAATATCTTATAAGAAATTTAGAACAAATTATTAGGTAAACCAAATTTGACGCAAGTAGGTCTCACTTAACTATAAAGAGAATTTGTACTTATCATATTTTAAATCTGGTGGGTGATACTTGTGGTACTTACACATGTGACTGGTACAACGGAACGCACTATTGTTGCGCTTATTTCCAAATATTCCATGCAAAAGATGAAAAAAGTGTAAAACCCTTTGCGATGTGATTTGTCTGAGTCGTCTTAAAACCATGCCAGAACCAGGTCTCCCTGCTGCACCACAGGCCAGAAAAGAGACGGTCCTTGGCACATAGGGCACATGTGCCGTTGTCCTACAATCCATATCTGTGTAGTCCGTCTGATGTCCAGCAACGACGACCCATGAGCGATAGCCAAACGAAGACCCTCATCATTTGCATCTGACCAAATTTTTCCTTTTTTTTTCCAACGGTGGCAAGCTTGTTTTTCAATTGGATATGGCCAATTTTTTGCTTGAATTGATGATATTGACGTGTATATACTATATACTTGTTTTGGCTGCCATGCCGTTTCAGTTCCTAGCTTAGTCGCCGGCTGCTACCATGATTTATGATGCTCAAGGCTTTGTGTCTCAGTCAAATTTGCCCGTTGACAAACCAGTGTCTCAAGAAAATTCTAATCACATGCCCAACGTCATGTTGGTATGAAACATGTTTCACTGCACAACCTCAAAGACGTCTGTAACGAGAGGTGACCTTCTTATAAAAAATAAACAGAGGGAGATGATGCCCTTTTTGTTGTCAGCTTAGTTATGAGAGAAATTTTCAACCACGCGCATTACAGAGCGTCAGAGCGTGACTTGTGGACGAGATCTTAATAAATCACTTACGCTTATTGCTCACCTCTCGTCCTCTCCCCATGCGGACGGGATCTACAGAGTACATAGCGTAGTTCGTGGACGCATGGAGGCTATCAGGTCTGTTTGTCCAATAGAAAGCACCAGTGCGACACTGCTGCATAGAACTTTTTTCCATTGTTCAACCTATTTTCCCCCCCTGCTGTAACAGTATAGCAGCCTGTGCCGCAATCACCTAAGAACAAGAGTTTTAGAGCACTGGACCATTGCCGTGGATCTCACAAATAACTCTAAAACGCAGTTTTGTCCTTTTTGTTGATTGTTGTTGTTGCAAAAGTCTTGGGCTCATTATTGTGGCAAAGACTTAATTAACCTATACTAATAGAAATATATAGTGAAACGTTTTTCAAGTCAATTGACTTTTCCATCCAAGTTGATCCACAATAAAGGAATGTTTGCAATGCAACCTGGGGCCATGTGGCAGCCACCACCAACTTCGCAGTCTGCCGTGGTTTGGCCTTGGCCTGGCCGCCCTTTTTTGATCAAAGTTGTTGAACCTCACGTGCCTCGTGCAGTCATGCATCTTCTTCTTCAAGTTGTAGCCTCTGTTAAATAGATGAACCCTAAAGAGGTCTACTCCGATCTACGGTTACACAAAGGTACACCCGCGATCCTAACAATGGTATCAGAGCCAGGTTGCCACTGTGTAACCCTAACCCTAACCGGGTAAAAGAAGAAAGAAAGAGAGACCGGGGTGGCGGACGTCACTGTCTACCGGTCACCACCGCGACCGCGCCGGGGGAAAAGATGCCGCACCGTTCGACGGCGCACGGCAAGAGAAAAGAACCGAAGACTTCCTTTCGGATCTGAACAGAGAAGAAATCTCAAGAACTCTAACCCTAACCCTAAAAGGTGAAGGGGATAATCTCGCAAATCTTGAATCGGGTTCAACCGAACCCTAACCCTAGATCCCTTTTCGCGTAAACAGGCGAAAAGAAAAGAAAGGAAATCCAAAGAAGAGAAAAAGAACAGGGGTGGGCACACGAACCCTAACCCTAGATCCCGATTCGGATGAACTCCAAAGAGGAAAACCGAATCGGTCGAATCAAAAGAAAGAAAAGGAATCAAAGAAACCCTAACCCTAACCCTAATCCCCACCTCCGGTTCGAAAAACAGAGATCAATCCAAATCGGAGAAAGAGAAAGGGAAAGGGGAAGGGACAAACCTCGCCGTGCGTCGGGATGGCCCTTCGACGGCGCGGGAGAAGAAGGGCCGAGCCGGGGGCAGGCTGTTCGCCGGGCTCAGCCAAGGGGGCGCCGCGGCCAGGCCGCTCAACGGCGGCATGCTCACCTATCGGGGAGCACGTGCGCCGGCGAAGGGGCCGGCGACGGCGCCATGGCTGCCTCGCTCCACCGTCCGCTCGCTCGCCGTCTCGCTCTCGGTGGCTCCTGTCCTTGCGCTGAGGAGAAGTGAAGAGGAGAGCGGTGACAGAGAGAGACTGAAGCGAGAGAGAGAAAGAAGAGACGGAAATGAACTAGGGTTTCGGGCACCGGCCGCGGCGTCGGTTTTTATACCGCCCGAAACGAGCGCGCGGCCGTCGGATCAAAATCAACGGCGCCGGTTGATTGGACCGTCGTTTGGCCCAGGCGGGCGAGCGCGCCGCGGCACTTTGCCGGCCCAGGCCCAGGTTGCGGCCTGGGTGCGGACAGCGCGCGCGGAGGCAATGGGCCGAGCCAGCCTTTTGCCGGTTTTTGGGCCGAGAGAAAAGAATGAGCCTGTTTCGCATTTTTCTTTTTCCTGGAAAATTGAAAATGCAAATTGGCTCAAAAGAAAAATAGAAAAAGTAATTTTTTCCCTGTGGGTAAAATTCAAGAAATTGAGTAAAAGTTATTTCGCTGCTAACGAAATTATTTATTCTCCAGTTAATTTGTACCAACGTGGTATTTAATTGGAGAAAAAGAAAGTTTTTCCGCTGCTAAAGAAAATGTTTATTCTCCAGTTATTTTAACCAATGTGGTATTTAATTGGAGAAACGAGATTTGACATGATTATGATGTTGTTATTTTCTGACCAACGTTGTTAATAATAATATCGTAATTTTAATGATTTATGCATTGATTTTACTTCTGCCCAACGGTGATGTAGAATTAGTGTATAAGAACAGTTGTAAATTTTAATGATTTATACATTAATTCTATTTCTGTCCAATGGTGATGTAGAATTAGTGTGTAAGAATGGTTGTGAAAGTTAATGATTTATGCATTAATTCTATTTCTGCCCAACGGTGATTTAAAATTAGTGTATAAGAATAATTGTATGTTTTGATTTTGTCCAACGTTGGAATCAAGACATGCAAATGGTGTTAATTTTATGTTAAGAAAAATTTTGACCTGGTTTTCATCTTGTCTAAGGTGGACTGGGTAGTCACCTCACCGTGTTCCACTGAGTTTGTGGCACCGGTGAGGGAGACAAAAGAGAATGATGCCACTTGGGCAACTAAAGAAAGGGATTTTGAATTCCAAAAGATGTTCTATGCCTTTTGAGCATAGGAAGTGGGTCACTGCCAACAAAAAATGTTTGGCTGTGATAAAGAACATGATTGAACCTATAATTATGGGCTCAATCCCAGAATGTGACACGGTCACCGAGTACCTCGATAGAATAAAGAGTCAGTTCACTGGCTATAAAGAGTCAGTTCACTGGCTCTTCAAAGATATATGCTACCCAGCTGATAAAGCAGCTGGTGACAAAGAGTTACTCTGGAAATGATGGCATAAGAGAGCTCAAGATGCGTCGTCGAAATTATGGCACTGTCGTTCAGACCATATTTCGAGGGGGAGAATAGAAAAACTAGTTAAGAATGATATTCTTCCTCCATTAGAGCTCTCAGATTTAGAACAATGCAGAGAATACATAAAAGAAAAGTATGTAAAGAAAGATGACAAACGAAATGCAGGAATTTTATAGATTATTCACACAGACATCTGTGGTCATTTTCCTGTAAAGAGTGTGGATGGTTATGATTCGTTCATAACATTCACAAATAATTACTCCCATTATGGCTATATTTATCCAATCAAAGAAAGAACAGAAGCATTGGATAAATTTAAGATATTAAAGATTAAGAAAGTCAGGTCTGGCCGTGGGGGAGTACTACGGTCGGCATACCCTAAAAGAATGGCATAGTAGCCCAGTATTCTACACCGGGCGAACCTTAGCAGAATAGAGTAGCTAAAAGAATCAATCGTACCCTGATGGATATGGTAGGTAGTATGATAAGTTACTCCACCTTATAGTTGAGCCTGTGGATGGAGGCGTTAAAACCGCCATTCATATTCTCAATAGAGTATCAAGAAAGTCGGTG